ATGATATATGAAAATTTATGAAAACTTAATCTATGAAAAGTTGAAGCAAATTCTTAAAGCGAATAGTCAGCCGGTTTTTCCCAGTTTCCTCAAATTTGTTAACTTTTCCAACAGTTTTGCCAAATGTAAATGTTTGTTGGCTATATTTTGTTTTGACTTGTTTTAATTGTGAAGTGGTGGTATCGATGTGGTGTTGTAGGAAGCAGGACAAGAGCGAGATAGACGCTGGCACTTCCGCCTGTCCCTACTGCAACTTCGAACTGCCAGACTACCAGCTGAGCTGCTCAGAGTGCAAGAACAACGTGCCCTACTGCATCGCCACTGTCAGTCTATTTTCTATTCATTTCACACAACTGTTTCACAATTATCTCTCACTACTCATAACGGGATTCTTCTTAATTAGAAAACCGAAAACCATTTCTTCGCTTGCTTTTTTTCGCTCTGGTCTAGGATGTAATATCATTACGCAAGAGCACAGAGCAGAATATAATTAAAAAAAATCTACCTGTTTGTTAACAGGCGGCAAGTTTTGCTCAGTTAATAGGAAAACTTTCTGTTATTTCAGGGCCGTCACTTGGTGAAGGACAACTGGACCGTGTGTCCAGTGGAGAAGTGTGGCTTCCCGGCTATATTCACAGAGTTCCAGGCGTGAGTAGTTAAAAAAGCAGTTTGGGTTTCATGAAAAATTTAGAATTTATGAAATCTTTCAACCTTTTTCAAATTCAGGGCACAAAATTTATTTACTCGTCAGAAACATCAGTTTTGTTTGCAGCTAGAACTCCTTAATTACAGTAATACTAAAGTTTTGGGCAAAATTTTCAAGTTTTCTGAAAATAATTATTGTACCGACCAATCTCGGGTGGGATGGAACTTTGGTTTCGTGTCGGTTGTGTTCAGCCAATTTTGACTGTCTCTAGGGAGTCAAATGTTGTATCATATTAAAGCACTTTGGTCGTGATCTGGAATCTAAAATGTTTGAAAAAGTTTTTTCAATGTCGAGAAAAACAGGTTCAGATTAATTTAGATTAGACGAATTTTGATGAGAGTCTAACAGTTCGTCTACAATTTCAACATGGCGTTTTTTAATCTATGATCAATTCTTTCGTGTTTTGTTCACATAATTCAGTTGCCCTCTGCTAAAATAAAGAATAGCTGCAACACTAATTGTGGAAAATAGTTTCCTTTCTTCTAATTATTTTGTCTTTACTTCTAATTTTTTTTTCGGTGGGGATTTATTATGTTGGTCGGAACTTCCTGTGCTATTTGCACAGTAACCGAGGTTATCCTTGTTATATTTCTATCGTTTCTGGTGAAAGTTTTGCAAAGTTATTATTTTTTGTAGTTTTCTGGAAAGTGAAGGTGGTTGTCCCATGTGTGGAACTGCGATGCCAGCTCACTCTGTCTCTAGACTGGAGGGGGACCAGGTGAAACAGGCACTGGCTATAGCTGCAGGACTGCAGTCCACACAGGACAGTGGAGCAACCAATAATGAAAACAGCTCTAATGAATAGCCACCACTCCAGAACCAGAACACAACTTCATTGCAATGACGTGAGCAAGTCCGAACCAAAAAGAACAACCGGAAAAAATGATAAAGACATCTTTAAAAAATTGCAAATAGACCGAATGAAAACACGAAATAGATCGAATGAGAAGTTTTAGTTGGAAGAAGTGCGAATTGTGAGATAGAGCCTTGAAAGACTTATCGAATTTAAGTTGAATAATTGATGTAAGAAATATAGAAATTAAATGGGTCGTTAAATTTATCCGTGCTTACAATTCAGCTGCGTAATATAGCATCAGCATTAGTATTCGCCTTTAAAATTGATTGTAAATAGTTACTTCATCTGTACAGAAGTTGAATGAAACCCACCATTAGTGTGTAAAAATATTGTAAATTATTAAATGTACAAGTCTTATGTAAAAATGACATCCTATCAATACATTTTTTGATTTTCTTTTTTATCTGTTTTTCTGAAATTTTTGCATACATCAACAATTTGTTACAATGCTACAATCATTAGGAGTTAATGAGCGAAGTAATTTATCATTTATATAAGTGTATTGATTTTTTTTAATTTTCTTTTAATAAGAAAAAGTCAGAAGACTGTTCACACTCAAATATGATTTTTGATTTCTTGTAAAATTAAAGTCAGGTTTTCATTTGCTAAAGAAAATAAAATTACTCTCACGAATAACAAAAATTCAACAGGCACCAAAAAAGAACGCTGGAGTTTCAAAAATGACTTAAGTGTTAGAATTACCAGCTAAGTAAAAATTTTTTTATAATGATCCAGTTGTTTCAATTTGTATTGGTTTTGTGAAAATGTTTCAATCATAAGGTTCATGGAATTCAAAGAGATAAGATAACATGTTTGTTTGCAACTCGAAATAAAAAAAACACGAAAATGCGTTCGACATTTTCATGCTGGACCAGCGCCTGGAGGTGATCTGCAATCGAAAATCTAAATTAGCTGACTTCTGAAGTCTCATCGCAGTAATCTTGAACGTTGAAAAATCTGCAAGAATTATCTATCACTCGACTTCATATGACGCTATTAATGACGGACATCTATGGTAACGTTTTGAAGACCTAAAGAAGAGCCGAAAGAAAAAAGATCATTTAATTCTGCCGGTAATGTGTATATACACTACTTGCGAGAGCAAGTGTCTTGTAATCAGCAAGTGTCTTGTAATCGGGATCAAGAAACTTTATTGGGATCAGGAACTTGAACCTTCAATCTTGAAGCTTCCTGATTAACTCTGCATAAGTTCCAGGCCTAAAAAAACGCGGCTGCTGTTGCAGTTAATGTTCAGGAGTTCAAATACCAGTTGGACCTTATTTTTTTGAATTCAAAAAATCGACGGAAAATTGAACTAAATTTTGTCTGCTTGTTTTGTCGGAGTTTCATTTTTTAATTCTTTTTTGTTTGTACACAAGACCAGGTTTTTTTTATTCGCACATTGAAAGCGGTGTACTTTTATGGAGTCAAATAGTTAGCATAGAGAGTTTAGATTTAAGCTCTTCTGTGGTCTTTGATCTATTGTTTGAGTGAGGATTGAGGGTTGATTATTAGGAGTCGGGCTCTTTTCTTTTCCCCCACCTCGCATGAGCTTCATTTTTTATGTTTGAACGAGTTCTTTTACTGGGTCAAAAATGAAGACGTAAATATGCTTTCTATAACCTCAATACTTCATACATCAAGTCGGACCACGTTTCCAAGTCGGATCAAGTTTTTTAACAGTCGAACCAAATAAACAAATTTTTCACTAATAAAAGGTCGCAGGTGGAAGGAAAAAAGCTAAGAGACTAAATACTGTTCAATTCTTTTGTTCAAACAAAGACAAGCTCCTCTATAGAATAGCAAACGTGAAAAGGTGACGAAAAACGTGATTCTTTTTTAGTTTCCAAAGTGGAAATTGGTTTTTAGATCTCCAAGTGAAAAGAATTACTAATTGATCTCCAGTGTTTGCAAATTTTGTTATAATGTGTTATCAAAAAAGTGCCTGTCATGAATTGTTCTATTATTTCGAATAGTTTTAAGGGCATCAATTTTTTCTTTGAAATTCGAAACTTGAACTATTTTTCAAAGAAAGTCATTTTCTGTTTCCTTACGTTCATTGCATTTTTCTAACTGTCAGTCACAAAAAAGTGAACAACTTTTAGTTTCGAGTTTGTTTTTAATTTTCAGTTGTTCCACCAAAAAGTCAATTTTACGTTTTGATCCTGTTCCTGTCATTTGACCCAAGTCCATCAAAAAAATAACAATCTCAAATTGCTGTTAAATTTTTTGGAGCTTAAAAGCCATATCTTCAAAATTTGGATTTTTTTTTTCGAAAAAACAAGTCCATTTTTCTGTGTCTTTGCTTTATTGTTTTTTTCTCCAACTGGATGTTGACCATGTTATTTATTCGATTTGTCTTTCCGAAAATTCTGAAAATATCAATTGGTGGCAACAATGCTATAATCAATCAGAAATGGCAATGGGTGGGGCCTGGGCCGCAGTCTCAAAAAAAGTCAACGGGCAGCAATAGGCCGAAGCTTTATCTTCTGGTCTTTAGTAAGTACATGAATTTTTTGAATTTTTTCATTTTTATATATTTAGTTTCCTTCTGAACTATGTTTTTAGCAGTGTATAAGCATCCTGGGCGCAACGAGCCAAGAAATTCATTGCAATGGACCGCTAACGGGCCAAGAAATTCAATCGCGGGCCGCCCTGCCTAGCCAGCAAAATATCGACCCATTGCCATTTCTGGCTACAATAATTGAATGCTGTTGAACAAGGCAATTTATCAATGAAAAGGGCATCCTTGCTTTTTCGGTTTTTAATCAGAATAAAACCGGAAAAATATCGCGTTTAAGTTTCAATTTTTGGGCTTGATTGCTAATTTATTTGCATAAGTTGAACTATTCTCATGAAAAATGAGCCTTCAAGAAGCCCAAAAAAGCACTCAAAATCTAAGAATTTTCAGCTAACCAAAAATATCTTTTAATTCAATTTGGGTTAGTTTCATCATAAAGTGTTAGTTGTATAAATCTCATAGAATTCAAAAAAAAAATAAGAAAGACATTTATTTGAAACTCGGAAAAAAAACACTCATTCGAAATTTTTACGCTAGACTAGCGCTAGAAGTTCCTCTGCAATCGAAAGTTCGAGATACAAAAGTTTTACACTGTTTTGAAATTTTTTTGCAGTTCGAATCACAAAAATTGAAAAATCTGCTACAATATGAATCACTCAACCTCTTACGTCGTATTTAAAAACAAATCTGCATGTATCACTTGAAAGATTCATATAGAGTAAACGAAAGGTTAGTGTGCATTTTTTCTGCCTGTTATTTGAATCGGAAATGTACTTTTTTCATAAACATAATTTCTTACAAACCTAAAAATTCCTTTTTTATTGAACCGTAACAAGTTCGAGGATTTACGTTCGCGGTAGCCTTTACGTTCGCGGTAGCTTTTACATTCTAAGTTTCTTGGACATAGCTTTTTTTCCAGTATCTATGAAATTGAAATGTTTCATAGAGAACATTTTTTTGCTTAGGCTTTGTCGGCTTTTGTGTTTCAGTTGATTTTCATGTTGATAAAATTGTTGTTATTTAATTCTGTTCGCTTGTAAACATACTCAACCTGACTGGAATATTTTATTCTCATAGCTTTTTTGTCTAGAAGTTTTTTTTTCGGCCTTGTTAGTTGGGGTTTAAGAGTTGTCGGCTTAGACAACTTATTTTGTATCATTTGGAAGTAATCAAACTTTTTTTTTGTTCTACATAAATCAGACTGCTTGTGGTAAAAAACTTAATGCTTCCATTACAAAAAGTTAATGCTTTTTTTGCTTTCAGCATAATCGGCAAGTAACCACGAATTGCCGACAAGTAGCATCTCAGTAAACGCTGGAAACTTGCTTAATGTTGCTGGATGTAGTTACTATTTTTAGAAAAATGAAACTGTCATTTTTCCGGAAAAAAAATCGTAACTTTCATATTCCATTAATTTTTTGTTTTAGTTTTCTATTCGCTAGCTTGCAAACATCGCCTCCGTCGTATGGCAAAAGAAGCAAAGCTCCTTTTGGCTTCTGTGCTAGATTAATTACTAATCATGGAAGTCAGTAAAGCCACAGTGCACAGATAAGATATTCATAATATCAAGGAATTCAACATCATTGAAAGCAAAAAATTTTTTTAATCGAGCTCATCTTCCCGTTTTTTATTGAAATTGTTTTCTTGCTTTTGTGAGCTATGTGACGCTTCACCTCTGTGTTTCAGATAATTTTTCTTAGTGCCATTTGATAAAGAATAAAAATTTTCTATTTCTTATTTCAAAATTTTTTTAAATTGGTATTTGGAGTGCCAAACATTGCATATTTGGTCTCGCAATGATGAATCTTGACGAAACATGTTTGGTTTTTTTCTGAGTTTTTTTATCTAAATCCAAATGTTGATTTTCCAAGAAAATTTTGATAATGTCTTAAAAAAAATAAAGCAAGTCTTCGAAATTCACATAAATAAAATTGAAGAAACTCTTTCTTCAATTTGCCGACCAGACTTTTTTGGCAGTTTTTATTGCCAAAAACGCAAATCAACACTAGTTGGACAAACAAATAAAATGAGAGTATCAATAAGGAAAAGGAGTTCAAAAATTTTTTGGGCTTCGCTGATATCTTAAGAACGAAAGTTTTTGAAAAATCAATTCCTTAATTTCAAAAATTAAAACAGCTAATTGAATGGCCTCCATCATCAGAATGGGTTGATTAATTTTTCATACTATAGCATTTTTAGTCAAAACGCGAACAAATATAAAGAATTTTCAAAAAAATTTCTCAGTGTCCAGAAAAATTGGTTTTATTTTTGAGTTTTAGCGTAAATTTTTAGCCAATAGTGCGAGCGAGGAAGTCTTATCCACAATAGGCTTATTGAGGTTTTTTTTAAATTTGAGCTAAGCAGTTCGTTAACTCCATTGAATTTACTTTGCGAAGCTTTTTAGCGGCTTATTCAAAAAATTAATACTCGAACGCCCCTCTCTCTCAGGGATTCGACCCCCTCACCAACCAAAGCGTCCCCCCTTTGGTTTTTTTCATGAGATCCAACCCTTTGAAGGGGAGCGTTTTGAAGGGGAGCGCGCCAAAAATGATATCTTTTTGGTTAAAATTTTCCAAATATTGCCCAAAAGCGGCTTTTTTCCTGTTTTTTTTTTTCAAAAATTTTCCTCAAATTGTTCAAAATAGGGTCTTTATAGTGTCTTAGGAGTATTAAAAAAATAACAACAAAATTTTCAAAAATGTATTTATATTTGTTTTTCGAACTGTTTTGAGTTCTTCGCGAAAAAACTTTTTTTTTCGATTACATGTAATTTATTGACGTCACCCAAAATTATTGCAGGCCAAACTTTATCTCTCTCTCTCTCTCTCTCTCACACCACCGGGTTGCAGAAACACACAATATGATATAAATTTTT